AACCGTGTCTCCCACATCTCCCGCACCTCATCCCTCACACCCCGTCCACGCAATAAAAACCAAAAAAGAATCCCCCTCGTCCTCACGTACCACCCCACCAACCTCCGGATCCAACGCATCATCCTCCGACACTTCCGCCATCTGCAATCCGACCCCACCACCAAAGACATCTTTCCCTCCCCACCTTTATCTGCTTTCCGGAGGGACAACTCTCTCCGTGACTCCCTCGTCCGCTCCACACTCCCCTCCAGCTCCACCACACCCGGCACTTTTCCCTGCAACAGCAGGAAGTGCTACACCTGCCCCCATACCTCCTCCCTCACCCCCATCCCAGGCCCCAAGAAGACTTTCCACATCAAGCAGATGTTCACCTGCACATCTGCCAATGTGGTATACTGCATCCGCTGTACCCGGTGTGGCTTCCTCTACATCGGGGAAACCAAGCGGAGACTCGGGGACCGCTTTGCAGAACACCTACGCTCGGTTCGCAACAAACAACTGCACCTCCCAGTCGCGAACCATTTCAACTCCCCCTCCCATTCCTCAGACGACATGTCCATCCTGGGCCTCCTGCAGTGCCACAACGATGCCACCCGAAGGTTGCAGGAACAGCAACTCATATTCCGCTTGGGAACCCTGCAGCCCAATGGTATCAATGTGGATTTCACAAGTTTCAAAATCTCCCCTCCCCCCACCGCATCCCAAAACCAGTCCAACTCGTCCCTGCCTCCCTAACCTGTTCTTCCTCCCACCTATCCCCTCCTCCCACCTCAAGCCGCACCTCCATCTCCTACCGACCAACCTCATCCCGCCCCCTTGACCTGTCCGTCCTCCCTGGACTGACCTATCCCCTTCCTAACTCCCTACCTACACTCACCTTTCCTGGCCCCATCCCCGCCTCTTCGACCTGTTTGTTTCTTCTCCACCTATCCTCTCCTCTATCCCTCTTCTATCCGCCTCCCACTCTCTCCCTATTTATTTCAAAATCCCCTTCCCCTCCCCCTTTTCTGATGAAGGGTCTCGGCCCGAAACGTCAGCTCCTATGATGCTGCTTGGCCTGCTGTGTTCATCCAGCCCTGCACCTTGCTGTCTCGGATTCTCCAGCATCTGCAGTTCCTACTATCTCCACAGGTTCCCTATCCTTTTGAGTAAGGATGTGTTTCCTCACCTCAGTCCTAAACGGTCTACCCCACATCCTGAGACTGTGCCCTCTGGTTCCAGACTTTCCAACCAGGAAAAACATCCTCCCTCCATCTAGTCTGTCCAGCCTTGTTAGAATTTTAGATGTTTGAATCAGACAGCTTTTTATCCATCGAAATTCTAGTGCATATAGGCCCACTTGAACCCACCTCCCCTCATAGGATTGTTCAGCCTAGTGAACCTCTGGTGCACTCCCGTTATGGCCAGTATATCGCTTCTTATGTACGGAAACCAAAACTGCTCACAATACTCCACTGTGGTCTTACCATCACACTTATAATTGCAGTAAGACATCTCTACTTCTGAACGCAAATCCTCTTACAATAAAGGCCAATATACCTCTGCCTTTTTAGTTGCTTGCTGCACCTTCCTGTCTACTTGACTGCTCTACTAGGATACCCAGACCCCTTTGTGCATCTACACTTACCAATATATCACCATTAAATAAGACTCTTTCTTTCTATTTCTCAGACAAATATATGTAACTTCATATGTAACCATCTTGTGCTGCATCTGCCTTGGATTTGCCCACTCATTCAACTTGTCTAAATCACCCTGAAGCTCCCTTGTATCCTCTTCACAACTCACAATACTGAGCAGGATTGTATCATCAGAAAACTTGAAAATTTTGCATTTGGTTCCCTCATCCAGGTCATTTATATATGTTGTGAATAGCTGGTGCCCAAATACTAAATCTTGCGTTAACCGACTAGTCAGTGCCTGCCACCTGGAAAAAGACATTTATTTCCACTCCCTCTTTCCTGTGTAGTAACCAATTCTCAATCTATGCCAATATATTTACGCCAATCCCATGTGCTTAAATTTGCCCAGTAACCTCCTTAGGGTGGGACGTTATCAAAAGCCTTTTGAAAATCAAAATATACCACATCCGCTGATTCTTCCTCATCTATACTGTGTCCTTAAAACTCTCCAATAAATTTGTTAAGCAAAATTTGCCTTTCACAAACCTGCACTGGCTTTGTCCAGTCCCCTTAATGCTTTCCAGGTGTTCTGTTATCACACCTGATTATAAAAGATTCTAGCATTTTCCCCACCATTGATGTTAGGATTGGCCAAATGGTCTGTTTGTATTTCAATGTCTTACGATTTGCAATCAGAGGAACATCCACAGAGAGGTCACATGGCCCAGTTTCTGAGTGTAACAAGACTATTGCATTTTTGGAACTTAGCCAGAGAGAATTTGACCCACCTGAGTAGCAACAGCACATTGCTTGCTCTCTGTCTGTCTTTGCAACCCTTCTCAGCAAAGTGTGTGAGCTGAAAAATCACCAGTGGTAATCATTACTGCATGTAGAGGATCAATGGAGAGGACTGGTTGGAATCTACCCCATTGTCTGACGCAAAGGGCCAACTACACCTCCTTGAGGAAGACACCTTGAGCTAGTGGCTTGTATTTGTTCAGAATAATTTCAAAATTCGAGCACCACTGGGGACAACCTGTAACTTATCCATTTTTCAGGAGTTTAACTAATATTTGGCCAAGCACTTTGAAGTTGGCACACACTGCAGTTTTCTTTTTGGTTTTGTTTATTTGCTTAGATTTGTTTATGTATGTATTAGTCTTTTAGGAGGGTAGCTAGATACTTGCATTGTTCAAACTAAATTGAATTGAATCATTTATTGTCACGTATTCAACGTAAATTGTAGAGAAAAGTGTGTACTGTCGCCATGCATAGGCATTGTTCACATTTACTCAAAATAAAAAAAAGGTGATTGAAAGAGAGTCCAACTTTTTCTTCTCTGCTGCTACAGTCCCGCTCTGGGCTACATCAGCCCACGCCATACTGCCACCAGAGTCCTGCTCTGGGCTACACCAGCCCACACCATACAATTGCCAGGGGTCCACTCTACACGAAAATGAGAGTCCTACTCCAGGCTTCTCAGGCTGGCCGGTTCTGTAGCCGCGCTGCCTCTGAAGACACCGCTGTTGCTCTGGAACCAATTGAAGCCGCCTTCCTAGCGAAGAGCTCTCTATCAGGCAAGTTTGAGTGAAAACTAAACAAAACTGAGAAAAGAAGAAGGGGGAGAAAGGAAAAAGAAAAAGTGGATGAAGAGGACAAGCCTGGGCACAGTAGCCGAGATGCTGCCTACTCTGTTGCCGCCATCTTGAGAACCTCGTGTTGTTCACCGGCAATAATCTTCACATCATTGAGTAAGTTTGTTTTGGTAATAACCGGTTTTTTTGTTGTTGGCTAAAGAATCTGTTCTTAGTACTGAACCTGACACAGTTTGAGTTTACACCATTTCTGAATTCCCCATTATCCTGGGATTACTAATAACCAGAAACTGAACTGAACTGGACTAACCATATAAATATTGTGGCTACACAACAGAGGCTAGGTATGCTGCAGCAAGTAGCTCATCTCCTGACTCCCCGCAGTATGTCCATCATCTACGTGGCACATATTCTTGAGTAGATTTGTAGCTCGGGTTGTGGGTGCTGTGGTTGGTGCACTTGCCAAGCTGGTTCATTAGTTCGCAGACGTTTCATTACCCTGCTGGGTAACATCATCAGTGCAGCCTCCAATGAAGCGTTATTGTATTTTCCCGCTTTCTGTTTAAACTCTGGGGTCCATTGAAGTTGATTACCTCATTTCTGGTTTTTCTTTACAGTGGTGTGTATATAGGGTCTAATTCCACGTGTTTATTGATGGCCTTCTTGGTGGAGAACCAGGCCTCTAGAAATTTCTGTGCTTGTCTCTGTTTGGCTTGTCTTAGGATTGTGACGTTGTCCCATTTGAACTGTTGGTTCTCCTTGTCTGTATGTATGGAGACGAGCCAGGCACAAGTCAGGATTATGATGAAATTCTTCCCACTTGCCTAGAATGTGGGCAGCTCCAACAACAAACAAGAAGTTCGATACCATCCAGAGCAAAACAGCCTGATTGATTAAAAGCATACACACAAACATTCACTCTCTCCACCATTGATGTTCAATAAGTATTAGCAGTGTGTACCATCTACAGGATGCATTGCAGAAACTCACCAAAGATCCTTACACAGCACCTTCCAAACCCAGGACCACTACCATATAGAACGACAAGGAGAGCAGATACATGGATACACCACCAAATGCAACGCCCTCACCAAGCCAGTTGCCACCTTGACTTGGAAATATATCATCATACCTTCAGTGTTCCTGGGACCAAATCCTCGAACTCCACAGTCCCACCAGCAGCCCCTTCCCCCCCCCCCACCGCCACCAGCTGCAACCGCAATAGCACCCATTCAGCAAATGAAACAAGAACTGACCATATCACCAACCTAGTGAAATTGGCATGGAACTAGGAAGGGAAACTGCGCTCCTTTCACCTCAGTCTTAACAATACAGTGAACTTAAAATAAATCCAGAAATAATAGTTGTAATGTTAACATTTTAAGTATTATACGTAGACCACAAAAGCGGAAAATATATAATTGCAGTTAGTATCTTTATTTGATTGCTACTTATTGTATTATCAATTCAGATTTCATTGTTATGAGACAATGGAGAGATGCCTGAAGTGTAAAATATTGTTTTGTTTTTAAATTGGCTGCTGTGAAACTAGTAAATCCCCAAAAGAAGATTTTAGAAAGTTATATTTGTGTCTCTAAGACGTTGTAAAACTACAGCAATTGTAGGTCTACGTTTATTTGGATATGATTTCCTTTGAACCATAGGAAAAGGAGGAAAATGTTACAGTCATGCTATTTTTCCAATTGATATGATTTCAAATGAAATGTATGTTTATTTGAAATTAAAATTTATTAATATTAATTGTTGATGTTATGTTCTTCAGTGCTGAAGATGGGGAAATCCATCCAGAAATCTGCAGGCTTTACATTCAGCTTCAATGCTGTCTAGAGATGTACACAACAGAAATGCTGAAATCAGTCTGTCTACTAGGATCCCTGCAGCTTCATCGGAAAGGTATTATCACTTTGTGTTTTGTTAAAGCCTAATTGTCATTTAGATCAATAAAATTGCAAGAGTAAATGTCCCTGCTATATGGTGTAGCCATTCAAATTATTGTGAATCTCTAAAGTGTTTGAATTATGTAATTATCTGCATATAAAGTCCCTACCTCATCTATAATGATGGGAAAGGCAGGAAAGTAGGATCGTGGAGGGAACAGAGTAAGAGTTGAGAAAATGAAAATTGAGAAAGCACCATTGCAAATGAGAAGGGATGTCAAATGTAAGATGAAGTGCCTCCGAACATTGGTTTTAAGAACAGTGGATAAGTGAGAGCTTAGGAGCAGTTGTCAGCAATGAAATGTTATCAACAATGAGAAGGTAAAAGGTTATTTCGCAGAATCCAAAGTTATGATGTGCGATGTTCCACAAAGGACCATTTCAGGGATTGTTACATTTGCACTATTTGCAGTAATTAAGAAAGCAGAGAACACCAAATCCATTTTCTTCAGAGCTGAGAATTCTTCAAGGCTACCAAAAGTGAAGAAAAGCAAAATATGTATTTTGTTCACCATGTTTGGTAAAAAGAGAATGCATATTTAAGATGTTCACAAAAATATTTCTCTTCCTGAATTAAAAGATATGCTTGTTTAGTTTGAGTATGCTGCCCTTCAGAATGTATTTGTCCTGTATGTCCCAGAATTATTCTTTCAAAGGTGTCATATTTGTCTTCTATGAATGATTCATAAACAGCTTCTTGCAATGCCTTTTGTTTCAATTCTTCCCTTACTTTTGAATTTTTACTTTTTAAACTTATCCTGTTAAGCATAATTATGTTCCTGATCGCACTAAACTTAATGGTTCTACAGTTACTATCGCTTGGGGCATCACAACTTCTATTTTTTGTACATTAACTGGGTCATTTCTGAATACCAACTCAAGGTGATTACAATCTCTTGTGGCTTTCCTGACGCACTGAGTTGTGAAGTAGTTGCACATTAAATTTACCAACTTGAACTTAAAGTCACTTGAGTTTTAGTAATTTATATTGGGTTAATTGAAGTCTCCCTTTAAAATAACTTTTCTGTTATCACATATGCTTCTTGTGTCTTCAAATAGCAAACTGTCCTCTTTCTTGTGTTGTACTCCTAGTCTGCAGCAGTATCTCTGTAGTCTTCTAGGATCTTTAGCTTCACTGGATCAACTCATGTGGTCATCTGAGGCCTGCACACTCATTGTAAATACAGAAGTGTTGTATCCCTAGCATTCAACACACTATCCGCAACCTCGCTCCTATTAGAACCTACTAAACAGCCATCAGTACTTCAATATTGCAGATAAGAGACATTAAAGTTGAAGCTTTCTGTCTTGAATTCATCAAAAGGGACTGTAGGTAACGAAACTTCAAAAGAGCACAGCAATTCATACAGCATGAGAAGACAGTGTTAATTGTCAATCTTGATGAGCTGCTTCTATTTCTAAAAACAGAAACCAAAAGAACTGCAGATGCTGTAAATCAGGAACAAAAACAAAGTTGCTGGTAAAGCTTAGCAGGTCTGGCAACATCTGTGAAGGAGAAAACAGAGTTAACGTTTCGGGTTCGGTGACCCTTCCTCATTTTTTCTAACTTGCTTTACTCTCCTAAGCCCTTAAATGTGTCCCAAAACTACCCATCCTCCCCAGAACTCAATGTTAGAATCACTCCAATCAGATTTTCACTTCTGTCTCAGTACAGGAAAAAAGCTCTTATCACAATTACGAATTGCACCCTACTTGGTGCATTCTCAAATGTTACTGACTGAAACATTGACTTTGCTTTCTCTCCACAGATGCTGTCAGACCAGCTGAATTTGTCTTTTTGTTTTAAATGATTCCTCCTTGTCTTTATTAGCCTGTCTACATCCTCTCAAATGGTTGACTGCACCATCCTTCTCCGGCACCTCTCCACAGTCACCCAGTTAGGTGAGACTGCAACTCACCTGAATTCATTTTTATGTAATCGAAAAGACAGCATCATGTGCATTGGTTTCTCCTCCAGCTCTTGAATTGTTACCTCTGGTGTCCCTAAGGATCTACCTATGGCTCCCTCATTTCGCACTGACATGCTGCCTCTTGACAATATTGTCTCAATACATAGCATTAATTTCTACTGCAGACTGGCTTACCAGATCTACCTTACCCCAATCCCTCTCTTGACCATCCAACTGTTGTTAAATTGTGAGTCTGCTTATCTGGCATCAGGTACTAGATAAATCTCCTATTTTTAAATATTGACAAGACTGAAACTATAGTTTCGAATTTTCTCCTCCCAGATGTGATGGGACGGGAAATGTGGCATGGGATATAACAAGAAAGGTGAGAAAATAGAGAGAATTAAAAAATCAGACATTGCAAAAATGTTTGCAATTTTACCCGCAAGTTTGAAATAGAGACTTCTGAATCTCGCCTTAATGGTGATTACTTTTTTTTTTTGCATTTTCATGACATTAATAGCCTATCTCATCTTATTTGTCTTCCACTTCCAATACTCCTCTCCTTCCCTGAGAAACGAGTCAGCACAAATTTCTGGTGTGTAAGTCAGAGCTGGCAGCTGCAGCTTGCCAATTGCTTGTCCCAAACATCATACAACTGTTTCTTCAGTGCATTGTCCCTGCATGCTGGATGGATGCCTTTCAATGTCGATCGGCAGTAGCAAACCACCATCCTCACCACATCATCATACCTGATCTCAAACCAACTCATACATCATTTCAGCCCTTCAACATTGTACTTTGGAGGTCAGGAACACTTATAATGACATATTTCTGCTGGGGTGCTTTGCATGCAGTGACACAAGATGAATCTTCTGGCTTTTGACTTGTTTTCCTCGCAGTCACTTGCTCTATACTTACTTGGAAGCTGCCAGGCTCTCTTGCCTTGCTTTTTTGCAGCCGGGGTCTGCAATGCTCCATTATGGGGGGACGACAGTCAGTCAGAAGGAACAAAACAATACGATTCCATTCCAAGGGTTCGGCCACGGTCATTCAGGAACCTGGTCGCACTAGACTGCGGGGATCCGTGTTCTTGCTGCCTGGGTATTGGGCCTCAATCAGTACTGCACATCAAGCACAACGAGAGCAGGTCAGTTGAAGTGCCATGGAGACACCAGTTTGTATCGTATGCCAATGTTTCCCACAAACAGGCGAAGAGGATGATTGAGCATGTAGGAAGGGATGGAAGAGAAGTTAGTGGTGTTGAAGAAACAGGAGAGTTAGTGCGTGTCTCCAGTGAATGATTGTGAAGGACGTGCAGCTGTGGTAAGGATTCATAGTCTGGGAGGTTGATGCAGGTGAGAGATGTTGAATGTTGATGCATGCAATAATGAGATTTTTAGTCAATAACTCTGTGCCTGATGGTGTAGTTGCCAGCAGTGATCAGCAGGAAAAGGGACTGCCCTCCTTTCCATCACCTTGACTACCAGCATCTCCAGGTCCCTCTCTTTGAAGTGAAATGTGGATTTTTCTTTCTGGACCATGCCCTCATTGATAATGGTCAAGCAGCACAGTGTAATGGACAGTTCCTAACTTGCAGAGTTTGAAGTGACGTGCAACTAGGCTATAACTATGATGCCGCCCGGATGAACACCACAAGATCCCAGAAGTGGTGAACACCTTCTACGTCCCCTGCCTTGCAGTTCCTCAAGAAGGGTGTCAAAGAGCCCAATGGCATGATTAATTAAGTAATAACAGAAAATTGCATGAGAAAGGTTACTGCAAACAATGAATACAAGCAAGAATCTTACATGGCAAAACACATTATCTGAAAATGGGAAAATTCTGTCTGTTATCTCATTTGCTCCTGAAATTCTCATCCATGTTTTTGTTACCTATAGACTGGGCTATTTCAAAGCTCTCCTGGCTGGCCTTATACATTCTACCATCTGTAAAATTCAATTCACTATGATCAAGGTTGGACGGGTGATTAATTCTTTTCTTTGTTCCATTCCTTCACTGGTCATGACAAAGTTTGAATTTAAGAATGGCAGTGATATTGCCAGTTGACTAGGTATCAAACTGTATTTAGGTCAATATTAGAAATAAGGCAGACAGACTTTTTCAAATTAACAAAAAGAATGAGTTTATTACAAACAAAATTTACTTGAGCAGGGATGCAAGATTATTTAAAATGTTTTAGATTGTGTAAATATACATCCACTGTTCTTGAAAACGCGCACACATCCCTAAGTTTGAGGAAAAATGATAAAACTCTTCATATTGTTACCTTAAAAACATTTTGGTTAAGCGATAGTAAAGTCAGGAGAAAAGGATTATACATGGATTGGTGTCAACATGGTGAAGCTGCAAAGCAGGACTACTTGCATACCAAAAAACATAAACAGCAAGTGACAGACACAGCCGATCAATCCCATAGTCAACAGATCAAATCTGAGTTCTGCAATCATGCAATACCCAGTTGTGAATGGTGGTGGACAATTAAACAACTCACGGGAGGAGGAGGCTGAACAAATATCTCCATCCTCAATGATGTGGGAGCCCAGTAGATTAGTACAAAGGATAAGGCTGGAGCATTCACAATAATCCTCAGCAGAAGTGCCAAATAGATGATTCATCTTTGCCTTCTCTGGAGGTCCCCAGCATCACAGATGCCAGTCTTCAGCCAATTCAATTCACTTCATGCGATATCAAGAAATGTTGAAGGCACTGGATACTGCAAAGGCTACTGAAAACATTCCGTCAGTGGTATTGAAGACCTGTGCTCCAGAACTTGCGCATCCCTAGCCAAGTTGTTTTAGAACAGCTACAATACTGGCATCTACCTGTCCGTGTAGAATATTGCCTAGATATGTCCTGTGCACACAAAGCAGGAAAAATCAAACACATCCAGTTACCACTCATACCCATATATACCCATATTATCAGTAAAGTGATGGAATGTGTCATCAACAGTGCTGTCAAGCAGCACTTGCTTAGCAATAACCTGCTCATTGATGTTCAAACCATAAGACACAGGAGCAGA